TTTGCTAATAAAACCATTCATTTTCTTATTTCTCACGCCTTTCTAGCAAGTAAATAGATCGGTGAAAATAAAAACGTTCCACGTCCAGAAGCATAAAAATTGGAGGGACTACGTTGTAATAATAATAATAATAATAATAATAATAATAATAATAATAATAATAGAATTTAATTCGACCATGCGATGAACGAAAGATATAATTTAAAAATAATGACATCAAAATCAATTCATAAAATAACAATTGAAGACTAAAAAAAGCTGTTACTCATAGGAATAAATTAGAAAAAATACTGGTCTAGGGATGCTTTGCTTGAAAATGCTTGAAAATGACCTTGTAATAAGGGTTAGTCCGGAAAGTGGCAGTCATCTAGAGACACGGACACTCTCTCAGACACCAGCCAGGAACTTCTCACGGCATCAGAAATATAACTTCAGAGACATTTTTAAGATTTGCTTGCTACTTAATTTTTGTCACGCAAAGCTATTTTTACAAGAAAATAGTACAAAATATTTTTATATCAAATTTTTATTACTTTTAGGTTGGATTTAAACTCTTTGTATTCTTCTTCATTCATCTTTTTTAAGCAGACTTTGTTCCATTTGCTCCATATAGTACGAAATCTTCACTGTCATAAGTATCTACAATTTTCTCCATTATTGTGGTAGTTGCTTCTTACATAAAATAATTTTAGTTGGTATATTCTGAGAAACTACTGAAGTTAATTAAACGAGTTATAAGAATTTTATAGTACAACTTTTCTGCTCGTCGAAGAAATATCATCAAAATTGTGATTTATTCTTCAGAGAAAAAATAACTTTTATTCCAATATAGTTCTCGTGTAGACATGTCCAAATCCAGTTAAAATATACATTGGGAAGACTAGAATTGCGAAGAAGTGATTGCGCTTTTTTTTCGCAACAGTTTGGCGCGGTTTCATTTTTAATTTGAATTGAGAATCTTTATATCTCCGTCTCTAACGTTTCGGCTGTAAACATCATTCTCAACGTAGAAACCTTTTAAGCTCATGAGGGATTACATAGAAGTTAGTCTCTTCATCATAAACTACAAACAAATATATTGTTAAGTTAGCTGTTAGACGTGACGGTAAAAAACCTAGCTTGTAATTTCGGTATGTAGAGTCAAAAGAAGAGGCTGAACGTGAAAAGAAGAGGCTCTCAGATTGACATTGCTGGGCGGTACGTATTTGCTTTTTTTTATATTTTTAAATTTGTTGCAACTCGTCTCCAAGCCTCGGGGGGCGTTGAGCGCTTTGCACTTCCGGAGTAATCCTTCATTAATTATTATTGTCGTCGTAATCCGCCACGTCTTGTCGCTGTCAGTTGTCAAGAGGACCGCCAAGTAGTAACTCCGCGCACGCGCCTCCTACTACGCGCCCCTGCGGCACTACTCAGCTGCCAGACTTGGGAAGGAATTAGGATTGGGGTAGGGTTTAGGACACTTCACGGGGGTTGGACTAGCATACAAACTCGTTTTGTGGTAACATTTGACATGAGGTTCTACGGAGATTCTTCGGGAATGGAACGCGGAACCTCATTGGCGAGAGACAACGTCACGAGGGTATGCTTGGATGCGTTTCCTGGAAGCCACGTTGGTAGCGTCGCCACCGCATTGCAGATGTGCTGCCGACCATAAGGACGAGGGAAACTGGAATGGACTTTTCGATTGCATATCCAGCTTACTTCTTGAACATAGATATGTTTCGTTTGGTGGCACGTGTAGTGTGAACTAGCTTCATTAACTTTAAAAGTGCATAATTAGCGAAGGGCAATTGTTATTTGCACTTGAAGTGAATGCTCCCGCTGGTGGCGTAGTGCATTCAGCCTAAAGTACAAAGTGGTCTACCCCTCACTGCACGTAGTCAAATATTATTCTCATTAAATAAAGTTTAATGAACATAATGTCGGTAAAATTATCTATTAAAATTTAGCTGCGGTGTGTGTAGTATTGCCTGAGGTAGGATATAGTTGATGGCAGTCTCATCTGACCGGGTTCTTGAATGCCACTTTGGTGATCCCGATTGAATGAATCCGTCCTGAGCAGATACCTGCCGGGATCGGGGCTGCATGTATCACAGTACACGCTGAAGTAATCATTACTCGGATCAATTCAGAGGCGGCGTTAGGAACAAATTCCTATAACATGTGGTGCAGTCCGGTACCTCGTCTTGCGGGACCTTGATATTAATAAATCAATTGGCGGCAACTCGTCCGTCTGGCTGCACGTGTTTGAACGCCACTACCGGCTAAACGGTGCGTAGGAGTTTTTCAAATAGAAGAAAACGGTGTTCATTTGTCTCGAGTCGAAGCTATGAGATTTTAAAAAACATTCTTTAAAATTTGGGGGTATTTTACATGCAGCCCCTGGACATTTTCAAAATTTTCTCAAAAATGATCCTGATGTAAATTAATTTTTTAATCACATTACGCTTATGAATATTGACTTTAATTCTTTGACTCTTTTCTTTAAGGTGACACGTCATGAAAACGTCATTTTACAAGAGAGCGGAGACCATCCTTCAACTGATGCTGTAAATAAGGTATTAATGATATTCAAACGAAATCTACACCGAAAAAAGGATCTTTGGAGTAAACCAGATCCATGATGCTGTAACAAGGAAACGTGTTACAGTATCATGGATCTGGTATACTCCAACGGTTCTGTTTTTACGGTGACAAACAACTAGTGTTTTACAGCTTTTTCATTAAGTATGTTGTCAAATGTAGAATTTAGCATTTTTACTTTTTAATTAGAGTTATTCGGTTATTCTTGCAAAAATTCAAAAATACAATTCAGATAACCCGTTGTTAACATTTAACAGAACATGAAGTATGACATGTTTACTTTAACTTAATTTTTTTCAACATTCTGTTAAAAATAATTAGTAATTCAGGCATAACTTGTTTCATAAATATGAAAAAAACCGAATATGAGTAACTTTTAATTACTGTTTAACATGAATCACACTTTTTGACTGATGATGAACTACAGACAAGTGAACGTCAAAAAAAGTCTATTACGTTGGAGTGCACTCACTGAGAACACTGGTATTGTCCATAAGGATCAAATTCCTCTATATCTGGACCTGCACATTGAATGCTTGCTGTAGGCTGCCTTCTGTAAAAGTTATGAAGAACTGGAACTATTAATGGAAAAATTCAATCAAATTCTTTCTTTTCTACGATGAGCGTTTTTGTTTTTGCTTTTCAGTCCAATGTGCTGTCTTTGGCGTCTGTTGCTCTTTAGGAGAGCACCACGTCAGGTTTTTGGCTCTATTACTGCACTTATTCTGACTGCAGGATTTACTGCATTTAATCTTTCGCTATATGCTTTACCATACA